CGAACTCAACACCGCACACGCAGTCGTTCTCTTCTCCGGAATAAGTAATCTTGTCCATGTTAACTTATGAGATACATTTCTAACTATGATTATTTATAACAGCTAGTGCATAAAAAAATAAAATTGTACCAAAATATTATTTAATGATGAAGCATTGAGTTGATCACACTATATAGATCAGCTCTTTGTTTCTTAATGCTCTAAATTTGCACAAAAACATCTGCAACAAGAGAGGAGGCTGAACATGGTGTTCTGATTCAGTTACTGTTGGTTCATTAGCTTCACACTCTGATTCAGTTAATGTTCTTCACATTCAACTCTTTTTCTTATGTAAAATGCATCAATGGTTTTCTTTTAACCATCACTGCCCGTTCTGTTAACAAAAAATAGTACAGAATACCTAATCAGAAGTTCCCCCAACAAATTAGGATGCAAGAATCTAGAATAGCAAGAAATTTCCTACGGAGAGAAGGAGGACAGACTACTCCTGCTGACTTGCTCATGCATGCATCAGCCACATGCACAACCATTGTTCTTGCTCATGCATGCACCAGCCACATGCACACAGCCGCCGCCTAGTCCTCAATCACCGGCCACTCACTCCACCCAAGCCCCAGTTGCCGGCTCCGACGGATCCAGCCGCCCCGCCGGCTCAAATCCCGGCCACGAGCCGTTGCTAGAGAGATGGGCGCGTAGGGTGAGGGAGAGCACGAGTACAGAAAGAATGAACGAACTCACCTCTCGCTGGATCTCTGGTAGATGCGCCACCACCACGCACGACACAGAGAGAGAGAGAGACGATCGGTGACGGGGGAGTGGGGCGATCTTCGGCCGGAGGAGGGCGAGCGGCGGCCGGAGGAGGGCGCGCCTGGGGTTCCGCCGGCGCGGCGCTTAGGCGGCGGCGCGATGGGGAACAGGAGAGGAGTCGCGAAGGGAGGGTGCGGGACGGAGGGATCTGGTGCGGGAGGGAGATTTTTTTAGTGGGCCCCAGAAAAACTAGCTCAGCTAGCACCTCTTTATCGGGATAGTTTTTTTACATGGGTTAGATCCAACTAGCTGAAACTAACCCATGTGTTTGGATCCTTTAGAGCTAGTTGAGGCCAAACTAACCAAATCTAACTCTAACTGAGAGATCCAAACAGGGCCAAAGTAAGCAATGCCAGGCTAGGGCTTGCGCTAACCGCCCACTCTCCAGGCAAAGAGCGCCCGATTTGATTAAGCCGGACCGGTCTCCCCAAGCACTCCAGAGACAAATATACATGGCCATGAGGGCAGCAGAGCACGGCGATGCGGCGAGCTGGTGCTACTACGTGCCACCACCTGCCCCTGGCCATGCACACCGGCTCACCCTCACCGGCCTCCAGTTTTGTATGGCTTCCAACTCTGGCCAGGATGACGATGATTGAGGAAAGCTCCTCGCATTTGACCGCCATCATGTCGACCGTCTTGGTAACCTGCCTGCCTGCCCTGATCGTAGTAGCCGTGCATGTGCGCTCTGCCTCTGGGTGGCCTAACATGTCGTGGGGAGAAATGAAATGATGGCTGGCTTTGGCCACCTGCGTCGATCGCTTTGGGCTCGTCATGATTGGGGTCTTCAAAGATCAGATTAATTACCCGACCGATGATACATACAGTACCATCCATGCATCCATGCCTTTGGAATATGAGCATTGGGGGGAAATTCTGTTCGGCCGAGGCCCAGTCTCTTTCTCTTTTGCCAAGTTTGATCGATCAAACAGCATTTCCGTAGCGGCAGTAGTTATATATATATAGTTCTGCTGCCGGTGATCTGCCTTGACTTTCTTTTTAAAGGCAGACGATGTTGACCCGTCTGCAAGTATAAACGAGATGTACATCCTCCTGTTCAAGAATCTGATCCTATTGACAGTTAAGCGCAATCTGATCTTTCCCGCAAAAAAAAAGCGCAATCTGATCCGATACCAGTGTCCGGACACTGTTTCGGTTAGACGACATGACAGATGAGAGAGAGAGAGAGAGAGAGAGAGAGAAACACGGAGAATTGCGGCATCAGCGTGCATGATAAACATGTACTACCACAGAGTACGTAACCGCACATCGCAGGCACTGTTATTTTTTTAGGGAACCTCGGCCTTTATTAATCAAGCAAACAGGTTACACAGAGTCTCCGGATGCAATCCGGAGCAGAATGAAAAACACAAAGACTCACAGAGTTCAGACTAAATCTAGCTAAAGCATAAGCTAAAATATTACAATGCCGACGAACATGCATAAACGAGACCGAAGACAAAGCTCGACACGCCATCTTGATATCAGCGATGATCAAACCCACCGTTGACCTGTCCCGGATCGGAGAGTGAATCCTTTGAACCACCGAGAGGCAATCGCAGGCACTTCCCACCTCGTGATCCGTTCACCTGTGATCCTGGCACTGTTACTGTTACCAGATGGAGCTGGCGGCAGGGGCGACCGAAAAAGAGGAGTGGCCATGAAAGACAGGCCCAGAGTGGGGCGCCTTGAGAGCGGAGGAAAAAAAAAAGGAGCGGCGTGATGTTCCATTCCATCCATGGGCTGGAATCCGAAGGAAGAGCAGGGCGCATACAGTGTGCGGGCGGGCATGGACCATCGGCGGTCGGAGAAGGAGAACGACGGCGACGGCTCACTGCGCGCTTGAATGTGCGCGCGGGAGGTGGTACCGAAAGCTCGCTCGTGGATCGGTTCACGCACAGGTTCGATGTACCTGCATGTGGCTTTGCCTTTCACGGCGTGTCGTGCTCCATCCATGCATATGCATGCATGCCTCGAAGTGTGCTAGCATGATTTTGGCTTGGCAACAGGATAGGAGAGGATGCATGGTGCCGGTGCACGAGCACGATGGCTTAGCTAAAACGGGCAGAATTGGTCTGCCCAAACATCAGAAGAAACAAGTAGTGCTACTCTTAACTTTTGCTAGGGAGAAAACAAGCACACGTAGGTTGATTATAGTCTCAACTAGCACTAGTGAGGATCGGAGCAGGCTGGCTGGCATTTATGTGTTTGTCATGTTTTGCTTGTCAGCACCTGCATGCCACCGAGCCTTGACAAATGGACACGGGGCTAGCTAGCTAGGCGGCGGCTACACCCACACACACGTAGAGATTATTCTATGGTGTATGTATAGACGAGATGGTGTAAGTAGAGGAGCACCGGAGTGGATTACATGGGAATAATAGACCATTGAATTCATCAACCTGTCGGAACAGAACCATCATCACGTAACTGCTTGTCTTGTTTAATCCAGTGCACATGCAGTGTTTTGCAAACTTTTGTTAATTTGATGGACGGGGGGAGCCTACGTCTACATGGTTGGTCAACCTCACTCATTGCCATCGGGGTTCATAATTCAGAAACACAACTTTTGATCCAGAAACAAAGCAACCAAAGCCTCTGTTCAGAAGTTGCTAGTACTAGGGCAGATACTCGATCGCCGACTGATGCAACGTCGACCATCATGTCACAATGTCGTTCTTCACTTGGCTGCTAGGGTAAATCAAGCAAACGGCCCGGTCAAACCGCCACGGCACCTCCACTCCACCCAAAGATACTCCACCTTGGTGCGTACATAAGGAGGATCTTCCCTTTGCGCTTCTATATATCTAAGATAATATTGTTCTTGTTCAGTGGCTCTGCCTTAGCAGTAGCAGCATCTGAAAACACCGTCCGAGCGAAAAGAGAAAATTCCACGAGACGTTCGTCACCACGGAAAGCGAGCGAGCGCAAAACAAAAGCGTGCAAGGAAACCTCACCCGGCAGCACAGCACGTACGTACGTGCTTTCGTGCTCCGTCACGGTGCCGACCGAAAAAGTCCGGGCTAGCTAGGGGCCAGGGCCAGGCCGCGACATTTCCGCTCCGAGTTCCAACAGAGGCCCGAGCAGCACGCTAGTAGAGTAAAACTAGAAACCGCAGGCGCCCGCGCACCGCACGCATCGAGCAAAACGCCCCGGGATCCAAGGCGCCGACGCCGAGCAAAGCGCCACCGCACTGCCACTGCCACTGCCACGGCGTCAGCGGGCAGCCCGTAGCCTCGCTCTCGTCGTCGTCGTCGTAGGCTAGGCCTGCCGCCGTGGATCCCGAGGCCGGCCGGCCGGCCGGACGCCGCGCGGGCGGTCCCCACGGCCATGCACGCCGAGGCCCCGCCAAAGAAAGGGGGGCAAAGATTCGGCCGCCGCGCGATCCCCGTCCGGTCCGGGCAACGGCTCGTGTCTGCGGCCGCCCCACCCCACGTCCTGCCCCTTTCCCCCCTTCCGTTTTGACCGCGAAAGCAAGCGCGATGGCGCCTGGGCCCGGCTCGTCAGAGATGTTTTTTTTACTTTTTGGGTCGTTGTGATGATGACGACCGTGCTGTGCTGGGATGTCGTTACGGCGCGTAACGGGCCGTGGGGAATACCGTGTCTGCCCCTCGAGCCGTCCGTGCCACGCCGGGTAAAGGGTAGTACGGGCGACGCCAGGGTTAATTTATGGCCGGATTTGGTCCTTTCATTCTGATCGTGTCTACGCTTTGTACACTACCAGAGGACGCGGTACAATGTTTGAACGTAGCATGTTTGGACGGGAAAGCAAAAACTAAGTACGTACTCCCCTAAAAAAAACTAAGTACGTACTAAATGGCTTCCAAAACCACACAATATATTTATTTTATGCTCCCATGAACGGCGGAGGGCATCCCGCGAAAAAGAAGGGTAAATGCGGGGGGTAAAACGGGAAGGTGGTAAGAGCCGAGCGTAAGATAATAATGGAAGAAAAGGTGGCGATTCCCACTCGTTTAAGCCAGCGGGACAGCGGCATGAGGCAGCAGCTGCGTTCAGACTTCTCCTGCCACTTCCTCCTTCTTCCTCCCCACAAATACTAAACAAAGCAGCCCACAATCGAGCGAGAGATTGAGAGAGCTGCGGCCGCAAGAAACAGCGAGGCAGCAGCGCGGCGAGCCCTTGGCCCTTCCTCGCAGATCCAGCGGCGGCGGGTGCTCCCAGCGGGCGCGCCGATGATGCACGGCCCCGCGGGAGGGAGCGGCGGCGGCGGCGGGCACGGGCTGGGCGGCACGAGGGTGCCCACGTGGAGGGAGCGGGAGAACAACCGGCGGAGGGAGCGGCGGCGCCGGGCGATCGCCGCCAAGATCTACACCGGCCTCAGGGCCTACGGCAACTACAACCTCCCCAAGCACTGCGACAACAATGAGGTCCTCAAGGCGCTCTGCAACGAGGCCGGCTGGGTCGTCGAGCCCGACGGCACCACCTACCGCAGGGTAATCCATCCCTCCGTCCGTCCAATCTTTGCTTGCTCTTGCTCTTGCTCGCTCGCTCCTCCTCGCAATGGCCTCCTCTGCCCCGCCGCCCGATCTCTCCGCGAGACCATGTGGTTCCTGACACCCAGCCTAAGCCAGAGGTGGCGGCGGCGGCTTCGATTTGCGCATTTCTTGAGCGTGCTCGTGTGTTTGCTCTGACCAGCTCTGCTACTTGGGGCGTTCGCGCTCGGTTTTTGCTTGGATTCGGTTGGTTCTCGAGGGAAGTCAGGGATTCTGCTGTGGTCATTTTGTTGCTTTTAGAGGATTGTTCTTGGATGCGCCAAGTGCAATTCCTCCTTTGCTTTTACTTGGAAATTTTCTTGCTTGCTTTTGATTCAAAATTTTAATTGGACTTTCTCCTTTGGTTTCTGCTGTGCTGCTGGGGTTGGATTTAGGCTGCTTCTGGGTCATGTCAGGGGAGCTGGAGCTAGATGCAAGAACTGGGAATCGCAATGTCGCTTCCTCCTCAGTTTTAGCATCCTCTGGAGTTATGATTCGTCAAAAAGGAATACAAACAAGTTTCGAACTGTTTTGCTGCCTTGGGAGATGCTTGTTTTTCTTGCGATTTAGGCAGTTCGGTTGCCATGTAAGGCCAATGGGGTCTAGCTAGATTTGGGAATGGGGAATGCGACGCGGCCTCCTCAGTTTTAGCAAACTCCTGATTTTGGATTTCAATAATAAATACAATGAAGTTTCATAATTACCTACTTAAAAATAGAGAAACTTCTATACTATCTCTCTCACAGTTTACAGGCGTGTGCGTACTCTTAGGTCGTTAATTTGACCAACCTGATATAAATCATATATTACAAAAAATATATCAATATAAACTTCAGATGTTCTATTTCAAATGGTATAATTTTTTGTTATATAGTTTATATTAGGGTGATAAAATTGGCAACCTAGGTATACGCACAGGACTTGTAAACTGAGACGGAGGGAGTAGTTAGGGGGCAGAAAATATTAATTGTGTTTGCCCGGAACATTTCAATTGCCTGTATATTTCTCTCGCATAAGCTTTTTCTCAAGAACCTGCAGTTGTCTTTATACTAGTTTCTTTTTTTACATGATCAAAATGTGATATTTCCTTCTGTATAAGTGTTTCACTGGAGATCGCCACATTTCTATTGGTCAATTTATATAGTTGGAAGCTGCTGCGTTATTTAGGTAAATTTTTAGTGGTGTGATAGACTACATTTTTTCCGGAGGTGTCGTAGACAAACATGACCATGCCAGAGTAAAATGCTGCGTCAAACATGACCTACATCCGGGTAAAATGATGTAAATTAATGGTTCATATTAGAATCTACACGCTTACATCCAGGTAAAATGATGTAAAAGGAAGATTCACATTGGAAATTCATGAATCACACTACAATATGGCACCCTTAATGTCCATGTTAATCTGAAAACAACGCTCTTGCTATGATCTTCCTGCCTTCTGCACATGCTACCATTTGCTTTCAGCAACAGAAGTAGATAGTACTTTACTATGCATTTCTTGGTTTCTAATTCCATTAGTAACATATCAGAGTTTCTTTGACGTTAGTAAAAAAAGGCTAATATCTGAGAACCATGAAAGCATCTAATTCCATAGCAGAGTTTCTTTGACGTTGTTGCTGTCTACAATAGCTTACAGAGTTTTCTTTGCATGGAATAAACCAGATTGTTGATTGTTCTGCTCTCCATGTTTCAGGGATGCAAACCTCCTCCACAGGCGCGTCCTGATCCAATGAGGTCTGCTTCGGCAAGCCCCTGCTCTTCATACCAGCCGAGTCCACGGGCCTCGTACAACCCGAGCCCTGCGTCCTCCTCCTTCCCGAGCTCCGGATCCTCTTCCCACATCACTCTCGGTGGCGGGAACAACTTCATTGGTGGCGTCGAGGGAAGCTCCCTCATCCCGTGGCTGAAGAACCTCTCGTCGAACCCGTCATTCGCCTCCTCCTCCAAGCTCCCACAGCTCCACCACCTCTACTTCAACGGAGGCTCCATCAGCGCCCCGGTGACGCCCCCGTCCAGCTCCCCGACGCACACGCCTCGCATGAAGACCGACTGGGAGAGCCAGTGCGTTCTGCCGCCATGGGCCGGGGCGAACTACACCTCCCTGCCCAACTCCACGCCGCCGAGCCCCGGCCACCACGTCGCGCCAGACCCGGCGTGGCTGGCCGGGTTCCAGATATCGTCCGCCGGGCCCTCGTCGCCGACGTACAACCTTGTCTCGCACAACCCCTTTGGGATCGCGCTTGCGAGCTCGTCGAGGGCGTGCACCCCTGGGCAGAGCGGGACCTGCTCCCCGGTGATGGGCGACCACGCGCCGGCTCACCACGACGTCCAGATGGAGATGGCCGACGGGGCGCCGGATGACTTCGCGTTCGGCAGCAACAGCAACGGCAACAATGGGTCGCCTGGGCTGGTGAAGGCGTGGGAAGGGGAGCGGATACACGAGGAATGCGCGTCGGACGAGCTGGAGCTCACCCTCGGGAGCTCGAGGACCCGTGGAGAGCAGCCCTTCTGATCATGGCATCGTGCTGCTGCTGCAGTGTCCGTCTCTTCTTCGCCTGGGCTTATCCTTCATCATACTTACTTTGGGCTGCGTTCTGATGTTCTACAAGCCCTGCGTTCTGATGTTCTACAAGTCGGGTGTTTGTCGAAAGAGAGAAGGGAGTTGAGGGATCGTTTCGACGGTCCTCTGCAGATGATATCCATCCTCTTTCGGGGGTCTGGTCTGGACTTATTTTAGCTACATTATGCAACTTTGTTAGCTTATTTCTTCTTTTTTTTCTTACTTAAGCAAAAAAAAAAATGAAAGATGGAAAAACGGCAAGGAATGCTGGCAGGACACCCTGGGCATGTTGAAGAAATGGAATGGCGGAGGCCATTTGTCATCAGTAGGCAAAGCAGTAGATGCAAGTCTTGTGGCATTTGCAATGAAAACCAAGCTTCAGTTGTCCTTGATATGACTGTTGTCGCCGCACTCTGTCAGAAGTGTGTAGTACTGCTACTACATTGTATGTGGTGGACCATTCTCTTCATTCATTGATTCTTTGTGTCTTTGCTGGTTAGAGCTGTTAGAAATTTCCTTGTGTTCATCTTGTTGGATCCTTTCAGCGGTAGCTGGTAGGGAAGCTCAGCAGTTAACCCTTTGGTGCAATGGTTTTACCGATGTGGTGATCACTGGTATCCCCTTTTCCTCAGGGAAGGTGAGCTCCGTTGGTAGCTCAGTGGCTGAAACAAGATGTTTCCAGGTAGAGATTTTGCTTGGATCTTGGAGGTGTTCAAGCAAGAAAACTGCTGTCTTTCTTTCCCTTGCAAACAAAGCTAATCACAGGATCTCTTTCGGCTGCCGCCGTCACTCCTGTTAGAGTTTTTTTTTTTTTTTTTTTTTTTTTAGAAAAGAGGGATGACCCCCGGCCTCTGCATCCGGGAGATGCATACGGCCATTTTATTGATTATTCTCGAGGACCTTACAAAGTATTACAACAATAAGTCTGAATCCACCATCTTGGCAACACATGCCACTACTCCTACCCAAAATGATGAAGGGGTGCTAGCTGGGCCACTACCCAAACCACTCACCTAAGCCTAACATCAAAAGCCGGAAACCGAAACACATTCGGAATCCCCAGCCGAGCCACATACCGGGTCTGGGGCACAATCCGGTCAGACGCACTCGTGTGTTGTCGCCACCATCTTCCGCAGGTCCGTCTTCAGATCATATTGAGGCTTCTACCTTGTCTGGCCACTCAGCCATCGGCGTCACCATGACGCCAGACAGCAACCTCCTCCTGCGCGAGTCCATCTCCGCGCATCGGGCGGCGAACCTCCACAGCGCCATGCCGCCGATCCTCACCGCCATCAATGAGTGAGATGAAGTACCGCTCCACCACGGCATGTACATTAGTGCTAAGCGGAACGGCTCACAACCGCAAGTCATCGGACGAAGGCGAAGATCCATGGAGAAGGCCAAAAGGGGCATAGCCAAAGCGGTGATCAGGGATTGGACCGAGACCACGGCAGCCGCCACTGAGAAGAACAGGCTACCTCACACCGTCACCACGCCACCAGCAGCTCCACCCCACACGAGCAATCCCCGGAAGACGCCTTCAAGAAGGAGCACGGCACCGGATGCCGCCATCGACCATGCAAGGGGAGGTCAGGTCTTCACCTGTGCTCGAGGGAAAGGTGGGAGGGGAGAACCACACCAAAGCCTCCAGGAAGGACCATGACGCCGAAGACGTCGCCTTTGGTGAGGCCGCCGCGCCGGCCAGGGGTTTCCCCCGGAATCACGCCCAACCACCAGATCCGTTCGTCCAGACCCCCAAGACGGCGACCGAAGCCACCAGGGGCTGGAGCAGGGCGCAGATCGGAGCAGATCACGAGCGGGAACGGAGCTTCTCCAGGAGCGCAAGACGACCCAGGCAGGGGTGCCGCCTCGCCAACGCCCGCCACCCCCCCGCCGACCGCACGGCCAGGGAGGCAGCCCGCCAGCACCCGCCGGCGCAGCCCGCCGCACCGGCCACGCCGGACACCTCCCATCGGAGCCGCCGCCCTGGACGCCGTGGCCCTCCGCGAAGGCGAAGCCACCAGATCCCCGCCGCCACCTTCATAGGTGTCGCGCGGCCGGGCCGGCGAGCACCTCAGGCGGCGGCGGAGGGAGGGGAGAGGGAGGGGGAGGCGCGGAGGGGATTAGGGTTTGCCCCCGGGTCGCCTCAGGCGAGGCGACGCGAGATGTCGAATATTATGTACAAGGTAGGTTACAGTTGGATTAGGAGTTGTATTGTGTTTAGATAGAATATGGAGTCGTGTCCTAATAGGACACTTGTATCCTAGGCCTCTCTTATATAGCGGGAGTAGACACACGATGTAATCTATGCCAACATAATAGCATAGACGCGCAAGGGGGAGCCGACGGCGTCTGCCGGCGCCCGGGTGGCCGGTGTGCGGTATTGTGACAGTGTCACGGAGAGGAGCGCCCGTAGTCAGGCCCCGGGGATGTAGCCATATCGATGAATCTCGTTAACAAATCTCGGTGTCGTGCTTGTGTGATTGTTTGGTTCTCGAATGATCGACGGTATGCCTCAAATTTATTCTAAAAAATGGTATCATGAGCTAGGTTGTTCGGAGGCTACGGATTGTTGATCTGAAGAAAGAATCGAGTTTGAGATGCAGCCAGGTGCGGCCTGGTTCTCGGCAAGATTGAAGAAAGCATATCAATAAAAGGCACGTGTACGTGCAGCAAGCTTGACGTGTGGCGATGGATTAAAAGGATCAATCAGGCGAGCTTACAGCGGTCACAAACGCGGAAGCGGCGGCAGCGAAAGTGCGCTTCAGAAGGCGGCAGCGATGCATCGATTGGGATTGTGCAGCTGCGCCAGGTCGTGGAGCGGCCAGATGATGACAGCGCTCAGCGTTGAGTATCGTGATTATTAGGAAAGATAGGATAGCGTAGGATACTATTCTATCTTGCTTTGTATTCCAAGATGATAATGTACTTCTATATATATGCCCATGAGGCTTAAGCAATACAACGGCAATTTTACCAAAATCCTTTCTCCCTTTCAACATGGTATCTATCGCAAGTTGATCCTAAACCCTAGCCGCCGCCGCTTCTGCACCTGCGCGCCGCCCCCGGGGCGGTCGGCCTTCATGGCCGCCGCCGGGGGCCGCGCCGCCCGTACCTAGGGTTCGTCCGCCGGCCGTGTTGGCCGTCTGTCCTAGAGAGTCTTTTTTCCCGATCCTTTGATCCAGGTTTTCTCTCTCTCGCCGGTCACTTTAATCGGCGTCTCTTTTTTGGTTTTTCGGTCTATGTGATCCGGTTTGCGTCGCCCATCGTCGCCGTCGATCCCGTGCGCCTCTACTCCAACACCGGCGTGATCGGCCAGCTTCTTCACCGACCCGACGGCCTCGCGCGTCGTCCGCGTGTCTGCCCGTCGGTCGCCCCGACCGGGCGGCCTCGCGCGGCGTCCTTGCATTGGCCCGCCGGTCGCCTCGACCCGACGGCCTCGCGTCATGCGGCGGCTCTACACCGCCGCCCTTCGTGCGACGGCTCGTCCGTCGATCTACGCCGGCCGTCACCGCCCTGCTCCAACCGGGACACCTGCTTCACCCCGACCCGGCGGCCTCGCGCCATGTGGCGGCCAATCATAGCCGTCCTGCCGCCCGCCGCCGCCGGCTTCATCTTGGACTCCGCCGCCACCGAGCGGTGTCTCCAACCTCGCCCGCGATCGGATTGATCACCCGCCCACCGCCACGATCCGCCTCATCTACGACGTGCGACCGACCTGGCCCGTCGGTTGCGCGCGCCTCCGTAGGCCCCGTGAAGACCGTCCCGAGTTTAGCGCGCCCCTCTACCGATCGAGCAATGGGCTGCCGCTGCGTCACCCCGTCGGGCCGCAGCGCCGCCGCCCCGTGGTTCTTCTCCCAGCTGCACCGACCCGCGTCACCGCTGCGTCGCCCCTTCGGGCCGTAGTACCGCGGCCCGCGGTCCACCGCCGCCCAGAGACCGTCCGCTCCAGGTCGTCCCCATGGCAGCACCGACCCTCGCGCCACCACTGCGTCGCCCCTCGGGCCGTAGCGAGCGTGGCACGCGGTCCACGCCGCCGTCCAGAGGCCGTCCCCGCGGTTGCACCGACTCGCGCTCCTCCGCCGTGCCGCCCCTTCGGGTTGTCGCGCCGCGGCCCGCGGTCCCTGCCGCCGCCCCGAGGTCTTCCTGCCGTCACCCCGACCTGCCCGCTGCCGCAGCGTCGCCCCTTCGGGCCGTAGTGCGGCGGCCCACCGTCCACTTCGTCGTCCACGCGCATTGACTTTACGTGGTATGCGTCGCGCCACCTTCCATGGCGCGGGAAGGCCACCGTCCACGCCGGTCTTCGTCATACTGTCGGGTTCTTCGCCTACTTCGAGCACCGCCGCCGCACTCCTAACCTAGCCGCCGCTGCCGCCGTCAGGCCGCCGCCGCCGCTCTTCTTTGGCCGCCGCCGCTACCCACGTAGCCGCCGCCGCCCGTCCACCTCCTTCGTCTTCGTCCAGCACCGGCCCGTCGCTAGCGTCACCATCATCTACCCCGACCACTTCGTCTACTCCGACAACCGCAGGCGACATCGGCTCCGCGCTGATTGACGCCGCAACCATCGTCGAGTCCTTCTTTGTTGGCCTCTCCGACTCCTCCGACATGACGTACAACTTGTGTAGGTCCTCGTCTATGCATGCCTGGTGCTGGCAACACCGATGTGTGCCTTCGTCCATGATGTTTCCCCGGGCCTGGCAAGCCTGGTGTGGCGCTTCGTCAACTTCATCTTCGTCCGTCTATGCATGCCCGGTGCTGGCAACACCGGTGTGTGCCTTCGTCTATGGTGTGTCCCCGGGCTTGGCAAACCCGTCGCAACGCGTTGTCAACAACGTCTTTTTCCCGGCGCACCACTACTTCGACACCACTGTGTCCATGCTAACTCGGCGCGCTCTTGCGCCCGCGGCTCCACGGCGACATCCTCGACATCGGCTCCCCGACTCGACATCGAC